AATCACAAATGAGATATTTTAAACAATTATCATGAATTATGATGAAAAAATGTCATATGCTCAGAGAAAATGAATAACTTCTGCTAATGTTTACATAAAATATAGGTGAATGTGTAGTGTTTAATTATTTTAGCACAGAAATACCCAGCAATAAAATGTGACATTCTGTACTTTTGCCTCATATTAACCTTTTCATCTCAAATCTGATTTGTTTCTGTTCAGAGCAAAAATAAACATTTGACTTTACTGTTCTAATATTTATGGAGGGCACTGTATATTGGGGTCTACTGAAGACACAATGGGTGCTCATTGGTTTTAGGAGAGAACAGCTATAGAGATCACTGCTCATGCATTCAGTACATGTTTTAAAAATGCCCCTTTAAATTCACTCCAGGCCAGGACAATTAGTTAAGGATTTTTACCAAAAGATAGGGAATTTAAGGATCTTTCCTCCAGGATAGGGCAGTTAAGGGTTTTTACCTCAGACAAGGGCAATTAAGGATCTTTACTCCATGACAGGGCAGTTAAGGATCTTAAGCCCTGGATACTGTAGGGCAGTTCAGAATCTTTACTCCAGACAAGGGCAGTTAAGGATCTTAAGCCCTGGATAGGGCAGTTTGCAGCAGCTATGGGATTCTGTCTATACTCTGCAGAGGCTGGCAGTGCCTCTCACCTCACAGTGTTTACAGCTCCACAGAGCTGGTGTCTGTCTAGGACCCAGGAAGCTGTTGTGTAATCTCCCAAGCTGTTCAAAGAGCTTGTGGTGAGAAGATCTTGCAAAAGACGTGTAGTTCAAAGTTCTCTGATGAAAACTGAGATTAAGAAGCTCAAGATGATCAATATTACAGCTGATAAGAATGAAAAGCTTTATAATAAGCCAGGGTGCCAGGGAGCAAAGTATGCAGCAACCTCATAGTAATGATGTGCCTTGCAACACTTCAGTACATCTTTACGATTGTCAAGGACTTAAACCTGGTGACCTTCAGTGAACTCCCTACCGTGGGAAAGACAGGTGATAAGGTGCAGTATGATGTGGTTAAATTTTGAAGGACTATTTTGAGACAGTCCCAGAGAAGATCAGGTCACCAGCAATGCAACCAAGCTTTGTGTGTGTCCCACAAACACCACAGATGTCCCACTGCACTATGACACAAAACTGCTGTCAACACCTGCCCTGACTATTTCCATTGCCTTTGTTATTATCCTATTTTTAAACCCTCTTTCGATGTTCCCCATGGCTAATTATGTGCTGCTGTTCTGTGTAAAGCGCCTGCAGGTTCCAGGTTAGACAGGTGTACCTGGCCCAGTTGCTGGAGATTTTTCCTGGTACTGAGACTCACCTGCCTCAGGTCACACAGTCAGCCCCACTTTGCCGAGCCTCATGCATACTTCATTAAGACAGCATGAATAATTTGTTGAATACTGATAGCAGGCAGCAGGTAATATCCTCAGCATCAGGTCAAACTCTGCATTAGTAGTGCATCTAAATAGATTAGTGAGAAAACAGCGCCCTAGAAAAGCTTTCAGAAACACTGCAGATTGTGCTCTGTTTCTGGGACCAGGCATATACAGTGTCAGAAAAAAGAAAGGCCAAATTTAATAAGGCTCCCTGAGCATGCAGTGTAACATGGCCACTTGAGAATCCTGTTTTGTTATTGCACTATGGCAGGCTAATTTACTCTCATATTTTCAGCACTGCTTTGCTCACCACGTCTCCTCAAGCACAGTTACCTGTGGGGTTGTGTCTTATCTTATGCCCAAGAGCCTGTTTTCATTATATAAAGAATGTTCAGGTGAGGCTCAGAGCCAACAGCTGCCCATTTCACATCGCAAAAGAGATTCACCAAGAAACGCAGACAGCTGAGGCTGTTGGGCTGCTCAGGAAGGAGCATGGCAGGAGTCTCAAAGCTCTCAGGCCCTTAATTTCCTCATTAAACAGCCAAACATTCTTTAACGTCACTATTTTTAATGCTTTTCTCCTTTTTAGGATGTCACAGTAACTGAGGCTAAAGAAACACTTCTTCTTACAGTATATACCGTGCCCTCTATAAGTATTAGGAATATTAAGTCAAAACTGCTGTTTTTGCTGTATACTCAGGCCATTAGGATTTGCTTAGAAAAGATTAATATGAGGCAAAAGTACATAATGTCAGCTATTATTTCTGGGTATCACTGCACTTATACTGTACAGTATGTTGTACCATTTAAAAGTAACAGCACTTCTGGCGTTCAATCCCCCCATTTCAGGTGGGCATACTGTAAGTATTGGGACAATTGGCTGCCAGGTGTTTCTTATTGGTCTGGTGTTTCCTGTTGCATTGGTTGTGCACATAAAAGAGCTGTGAATGTGTAGAGTTGGATTTAGCCTTTGCTCTTCCCTTTGGAGTCAGTAGGCCTAAACCAACATGGAGACTAGAGAAACGTCTACGAAAGAAAAGCAAGCAATTAGGATGCTAAAAGAAATGTCGAATATAATCAGAACTATATGACAGAAACTGGGCATAACAAAATCAACTCATTGTAAGTAAAGGTAAAGTAAAATCTTTAATTTCTGGGTATTTCTACGCATATACAGTATGCTTCCACATTTTAGAAGCATACCACTTTTTGTGTTCCATCCCCCCATTTTTAGTGAGCATAAGTATTTGGATAAATTAACGTAAAGTAGTATAAAACATACTACTTGGTTGCAAATTCTTTCCATGCATCAAGCCTGAGATATTCACTTTTCCTCTCCAATCTGAATTGCTTTATAAAGCAAAAATAGACGTTTTGACTTCATTTTCCCAATATCTAAGGAGGGCACTGTACATCTACTGATCTTTCCTTGGTCAACTGTTGTATTGACTACTGCTGTTGGCCAGGAGTTGCTGTCATCAGATGGAATCCAGCTGTCATCTGATGTTCCGACCCTCATCCTTAATGGCCTCCTGCCGGCAGGTGAGCAACGACAGCTAGTCACCGCTCCTCTCCTTCCAGCCTCCAGCTTAACTCCTCTTTGCTGATCCACAGCCAGCATGAGGTCCCTCCGCTGTCCCTCCCGATCCGAACAACCTCCACCAGGAACAACACGTCTGCCACACTTTCCCCTGCAGGCTTGCACAAAGCTCTAAAGAAACCGTCCATTAAAGCATCCAATTGATAACTTACTTAACTGTTTTCATCTCTTAAAAACATGGATGGGTTAAAAATCAAACTATTTTATAGCGTGCCTTTAAAGCAGAAAACCTTCACAAAGTACTGTGAAGGGCAGAGTGGGCAGACTGTGTCAGTGTCTTTGGAGATTTTGAACACCCATATCAGAGGTTCCCTCATAATTTCCCCTGTTCAAGATGAAAACGGTTCTGTTCTTTCAGCCTTTTAGAATAAGACATTCACTTACTCGCCTCATCTTAATGCATATACTATATCCAATATATTTTATGTACTGGAGCAACCAAAATCATAGACCATATTCTAAATTAAGTCTAACAGGTGTGTTGCACAGTTTTAGCACAATGTCCTTTAAATTCAGTTTTACACTTTTATCTATATATCCCAACTTGCAACTGCAAAATGGGCTACTAATCAGGGCCAGAATTGTGAAGGGTAATTAATTCAAGCCCGGTGACTGTGTCCTCTCCTCATCCCTGCCTGGTTTGAGCCATTGGGCTCATACTGATCTCAGAAAGCTTATTCCAGGAGCCTGTGACAGTGTTGCCCCCTCATGCACCAAGACATTGTTCTTGACCCACCCACTGACACAGGCAAGGGTTTCCTAGTCCAGACCAGAAGCCTTGATCAGTCCAGTTCTTCCTCCATGCTTAGGTCTTAAACTTCAGGTGATTGAAAGTGAACTGGTGGGACTATAGACCTGGGACACTAACACTAAACACTGATATACTCTGTAGAAGATAAAACTACATTATCAGTCTTAATAACGAAAAATCATTTCATTGCTGTTGGCTTTACAGCAGAGTAGGATTTTGCTCTTATAATGGCTTGGGTGGAGAGGACAGTGAGCTATGAGCATCGCACGACAGATTTTAACTCAGAACTCTTCAGGGGAGCGAACACCCCAGAGACCATGAGGTCCTCCGGACAGCTCATCTCTCTGCTCTGACTCCGTGCTCTGTGTGTTTAAACTGTGCTCTGTGATGTGCTATTTTTAACAGTGTACTGCTTTGTGTGTGCTGTGTTTTTAAATCATATATTGTGTATATATATCATATGAGGGAGTAGCAGTCTGACAGAGCACCCACGCTCCTGGCGCTGCTACCTGGGCTGATCTACAGCAAACAGGGCTCAGTATTGCCGCCCAGTGGTCAGTCCCAGTCACTGATATGCACAGGGTTACAAGGAAATAGGGGGCACATTGTCATCTCAATTTTTACCCGTTGTAACGTGGATGCTGGGAATAATGACGTGGGACATAATTTCCGACTTATTCCGAACATGTTTATTGACTTTTCACGGAGAGCCAATTCACACTGTTTAATGTTATGTTTATCTCCACTGAGCTATGTTGTTTGTACAGAACAATGTATGCAATTCAAAGAGTTTATCTATACACTACTGCCCTCTAATGACACCAACATTAAATCCTATCTGATACACTACCCGAGGCTACAGTAAATAGCCTATGCGGTGCCCATAAAAATTATTATGAGGACTTAATGACATAAAGCCTGTGTTTTAATGCACAGTGCTTTGGACCAGGTGTATGTACTGTCATTTACCATTTACTAGCATTTACTGGAGCAGTCCGAGTACAGTGCTTTAGTGTGCAGCAGAAGTGCCTGGACCAGAACTCTTACTAAACTAATAACACCATAACTCTAGAAGTGTGTGTGATCAGGGGTAATAGGTGCTCACAGCTACAGCAGCCTTACCTGTCGAGGACGGTTAAACAGTTAAAGGCCTAGATCCGCCGCAATAAAAGTGAGCGCAATCATGTTTAAAAGCTCCCATGCTCCCGCCTTTATCAGTGCACCAATCTGAACCTGCCAAACCAAGACCGGCACAACAATGACAGCACTGCCGGGCTGTTGCAAGCTTCACGCCACTCGCTCACAGAACAGGGCAGTTGTAAAGACCGCCGCTCGGCTCTGCTGCACTCTAACCTGGAAGTGCAACTAGATAAGCTTGCAGGGTACAGCCCCAAACTATCAGGAATCAGGTGCTTCCTGACACAGGGCGACTGTCGCCATGGCTCTCAGCTACCTGGAACGCTGTCTTGTGTGGGGGCTGCGCGGCCTCGCCTGGCTCCTCTTCGCTGTATTCCGGCTGTTCGGACCGAGACGCCCACCCGGGTTGCCCCGCCTCGCGCCCGTCAGTAACCCTCTGCTGCTGCTGTCCGGGGTCCAGCTGGCGCGCAAGATCCGCCGCAGGGAGGTGCGTGACCGTGCCCGAGTGGGAATTCTGCCCGAAGCGGCAGTGCGAACGTGTTCCGGGTTTGTGTTTTCCTATTGCCGGTGCGTTCGCGAGCGTCTGTGCGCAAGGACAGGTCGTGTAGAGGAGCAGCAGAGCGGATTGTGAGAGGGTGAATGCTGTCGAAGTTCCCCTTTATTATTTACAGAATCGTTAGAAATTGCAAATTAAAATATGAGTAGAAAGATCATGGACTTTTGTAGTGTCCTAGAGTCGGGACGGCTCAACCTTGCGTTGGTTGTGGGTTCTTGTACCGGAGTGGCACTGCTGTCCTACTTTTGAGAGGTGCTTTACTCCGATTGTAAGGAACACGCTTTGTACAGTACAGTATATGGCACAAGTGTAAAAGCATTGCATAAAACTGTCAGCCAAACACTCCTCTTGCCACTAATAATAATTTAACCGTTTAACGAGTGGTGCCGAAACAGGCGGATCAAGGATCCTAGTATGTGTTCAGTAATCTTTGAAGCAGTGAGTCGCATCAAACAAGAAAGGAGAAAGGAACAAGTAATAGGTTTATTCCATGCTGAAAAGAGAAGAAAGAAAACACAACGTTTTGGCCGTGGAGCCTCCTTCAGGTATCCTTCTTCAGGAGCTCCTCACACCTCCACGGCCGAAACGTTGTGTTTTCTTTCTTCTCTTTTCAGCATGGAATAGACCTATTACTTGTTCCTTTGCAGCCTACGCATGCTGACACAGCTACCCACCTGAACTAAGAAAGGAGAAATATTCATAAAGGACATAGTACTGTATTTCCTTGTGGTTAGTCATTGTCTCTGTTGGTGTGTATCACTGTTGATGGTAATATCCAAGGC